TTAAGGACGCTAGATGCCCTTCTCGCTGATGTTTGCATCTAATGCACGGAGGAATTCGCACACAACAAACACAGATCCAAGCAGAGCTTTCACACTGACATGCGTCAGACCCACAGCGATCACCGCCTGACCGCATCCTCTGTTGCTAATCCAGTTAATCTTCCCATTGGCGACTGTTCCAGGATGGCTGCTTCCCTGTTATTTTAGGAGAACGCTTGAGCATTGTGGAATCAACAATGGCTTAAACTCTTCAACAGGTTTCTTTATGTCCTTCCTGCAAAGAAGCTTTGCTGGAAAAAAATGAATTAAAGAAAATCAATGTGCAGCTATACGGTTCACCCTTCCTGCAGAAAACACAATGGGAACCAAGATGTTCGCACCAATTACTAGATATCATTCATTGCATTAATGATACTGTGAGAAAAGGGACTTCCTCTATTGTGAAAGCCTGGATTCCTGTTCGGTATTTCAGTGGGATGCTGTGAACTAACTGGCTGTCTTTTTCAGCAAAATAATGCCTCCTCTTACCTGCCCTGTGAGATTTTAATGAGGTACAAGGTTCCTGTGAAAAATTGAAATCAGTTTTTAATTACCGGTGAGGCCCATTTCCTATTATCAAGTCCATGAAAGGCTGACTTGAGCAAATCAATTTGGTGCTGTACTACAAGAGGGAGTAGCCACATGTACTCCTTGGTTTGACAAATGAGCAGAAACCTTGCATATTGTGCACAAAGGCCGACGTCATGAATTCAAACTACTGACTGGGAGCTGGTGCAAACTGAAAAGAGGGTTTGGTGTATTTCACGATGACTCACAGTGTTTAGGCGATCCTACAGGTGGGTTGCTTCAAAGTGTAATCATTCATGCTCGTGCTTTTAATCCTCTCAATGTCCGATCATTTCACCAATGAAACCCAATTTTCACACAAAAAAAGGGTTGCACTCCAGCATCTTTTACAGGAAGGCCGAGTAAACCACACTAAATGAGTTCAATTAAACGAGATCAGCTCACGCAGCAGCAATACTCGTGATTACTTCTCCAACAGATGCAGCCGCGGCTGAGCGGCATCATCGTCCACCCCTATCGTCAGCGTTTATCCCATTAGCTGGACATTTTTGTTGTGCTAGCCTCGACTTTGCACTCTCGGAGAAGAAACCTACGGAGATCTAACCCTGCATGTTGTTGTGGTTTGAGCCTTTAGTTTTTCCTGTCTCGGACGATCAGAACAGAACGATCCTGTGGTGTTGTGAAGGTGAAGCAGTGAATTGAAACCCTTTTTCTAATGGCCTTAACATACTTTCCTTTTTTACCCCCATTATGGATTCGTACACCTTTTACATGACAGTATTTGTCATGAATACCTTCAGACAGAATGTGAATATAAGCGTTTGAAAAAAACCTTCAGCCAACCGCGTGCAGTGAACAACAATAAGGAGGCCAGCTTTATTACTCATTCCAATTTTCCAATAAAAGCGATCGACGTACACAATAAAATGTGGAACTCTTTGCCAGAGGAAACTAGTGAAATAGGGTACGATGCTGTAGGCTACACAACCATTTACAGACTAAAGAATGAAATATTGGTAGTTGGTCCTAAAGATGATAAACTGTAAAAACTTGTTATGTGGTTGTTGCATGATTTGAATGTGGTTTAGGCGTATGTCACAGTGCTACCATAGGTAATACACTATTTTTAAGCTAAGACAAATTGAATTCTGCTTATTAGTCACACACATTCATGATTCTCAGTAACAGCCATGTCATTAATAAACCTCCATAAACATTCATCCAGCAAGCAGCGTTAAGTTGAACGTTTTTAAATGTTCATATCTGCGCATGTTAGGAGGCCAACAGAGAGCCATCAGAAAAGCTCTAATCAATATCACGCACGAGTCTCTTAGGTGACGTAAAACGACGATGCTGGATGACGACAGTTTGTGTCGGCTTCTTCCTGCATAGCAAGTAATCAAATTCATCCTGGAATGACTCAGAATGCACTTTAAAAATCCAGTGGAAACCTTTATTTTGTTAAAGTAATTGGTTGAGTTAAGCATTCATCTTCATTTATTTTTGTCTGCTATAGTCTTGACATTATTGAAACTAGACTCCATCCCTCAGTGTATTCCAAAGAAAAGAAAATGAACATCTACAATAAGACAAAAAATATATAAATAAAATGCAGCATCTAAAGGTAAAAGAAATAGAAACAATCTTAGAATATCTTAGAAAAGAATATTGCAACCACAAAGACACATCAGAGTTCAAATGTAGCATAAGTGGCTCCCACCATCATCATCCTTTCTTCATAGTCCCTCCAGCCCCAAACTCATCCCTTGGATTCAACATCGTGAGCCCTGAAGCCGGCTTCCCTTCAACACACTCGAACAAATACGAAGTGCGATTCTTAAAATAATACCAACATCCTTCCGTGTTTACTGGCAGCAGTGGGATGTTTATCCACCCACACCAACCTTTACATTATGAGCGACGAACGGAGCCGAGGGAATAACGCTGACCCTCAGGACCGTCGCCATCCTCAACGACAGGCCCATGTATCGGATGTGTGTGTGTGTGTGTGTGACACTTTTCCAGGTTAGGGTCCACAAAAGGCGGCGGGGCGCAAGCAGCTATTTCTGGACAGGCCGCTATGATTCATCGCCGGTTGTTTGGAGCTCTGACGTGTCAAGATGTGTCACTCCGCTAATTGTCACTCTGACTTATCCTAAGCCCTCTCCAGCCCCTGAGCTCTCTGCTGACCTGAGATAATCCCGGCACCAAACCAAGCAGAGAGAGAGCGCCGGGTTTTCCACACCTCGGGGAAGGAGGACGAGGTCCGGACACAGAGTCTTGTTTCACAAACCTCCAGTCATGTGGACAAAAAAGCTAATCAATACAATGCAATGGAGCAAAATATCTCAAAGCACACTGTGGCAACCCGGGGGGGAAGTGGGGCCAGATTCAGGGCTAAAACAGGAGGCTGGGAGACAGTGATCACTTAACAAAGAGGGTCCTTTTTAATAACAAGGTCTGCTTAAGGGTGCTTGGGCAGAACAACTTTCAACTTTCGCTCTGGGTCCAGGACTCCGTAGGGTAAACGGTTCCGTCCGCCCTGTTTGGGGTAGGAGAGGTGAGTCCAGGTCGTTACGTCTTCGAGTTGCTGTGGGTCTTCTGTCTCCTGCTGCGTCTGTCCCACCCCTGGCTGCTGCTCAGCTCCGTGGATATATCCGCCCGCCCCCCCTCCAATCAGCTGATGGGCTGCAGGTTTGACCAATGCCACGTGCCCAGCTGCTGCAGCACCTGCACTGGACAGTATACCCCCTTTATCACCTCCCCCGACCTGAGCTTGGGGATCCGCCTCCAGGCTCCTCCCCCTGGTTTGCCACAACACGCTGCTATTACTTTATGAAGCTCCCAAGTCCACGTTTAGGACCACTTCTGTCGTGCATCTTTTTGGGGTTTCATCTCTGCTGCTGTGAGATTGAAAATGATCTAATCTCCTCTTTACAAAGCAAGTAGCAACTCATCAGACACACATTAACGTGCACCAGCCGCTGTTTATACAAAGTGAAAGAGTTCCACTCAGAGCCTCTAGTGCAGCTCTCGGGTGGATGTACCTCATCCTCCACTAGACGTCTACTGGGAATGAGCAGGATTGTGAATATATTAACTCTCAAATATTCAAGCCTGGACCATCATCAAACTAAACTTTCCGCAACTTCTGCACCACTCGCAGCCCAGACATGATTTATGGAACTATATCTAATGGGCAGCTGTGGGCAACAAAGCCTGGCTTGCTTCACGTTTTGCCCGCGCCGAAAATAAACAGTGCCGCATGGCTACAGGTTATAATAATAAAAGCATTTTTACCCGATATTATTCAGGAGGCTCAACGTTTCCATTTGGGGCATGAAAACACCATTCCCCATCTGGCATAAGCCCCTATCATGATTATGGGCCTGGATGGGCTCGCATTACCCACGGTGTCCTATTTAATGTTATTTCTCTGTGGTCACACCAAGTTGTCTTTTCATTATAATACCCACATTATTCAGCTTCATTGTGTATACTGGCGTATTTGCGATTAGGATATGAATATGCATAAAAACAGCTTAGCCCAAATATGACCTCAACCGGTGCACAAGCTGGTATGCACCTCTCTCTGTGACTCGTTGGCACTTTCACTGAAACCTTGTAATAAGCTTGAATTAATGGGGCTACCACGGATGCTTGTGATAGGAGGTTGATTACATAAATACGAATAACGTTTCAAATTGGGGCCTCTTAAGTTAAGTGGTGTATAAATAATAATAAGAAGTACCACCTTCTCATTAGAGAGGCTGTTTCTCAGAACGGAATAAAAATACAAATAAAAAAGGCGTCCCAATCACGGGGTCCAGGGTCTTGAAGGGGTCTCTGCCAAATGAAGGCTGTTTCAATTCTACTCTCGTTGTTATCTCTCCCTCCCGGAGAGGAAACCGGAAGGCAACGAAAGCCTCTGACGGCTCCGAGGGAACCTCTAATAATCAATCCACACCTAATGGAGGTCGGAATGGATTTTCTTTTTTTAATCTTCAAACTTCAGTGACTTCTTTCATAGTTACCCATATGCTAATCGTAAAACATCTACAGGGTTTTCTATACTGTTTTCAGAGGGAGGCGCGCGCTTGCTTGTCCCTAAAATCTTACCCGCGCAGCCGGCGGCCGTTAAGGCGGATTTATCTTTCGCTTTTATTCCGAATAGGACGCACTCCGTCCCGTGACGACACCCAGGGACCCCGAACCGCGCGCGTCACGCATGTACCGCTGGAGCGCACGAACCCGACCGCACCGCCCACTAGAGAGAGAGAGAGAGAGAGAGAGA